GTTGAAATAAATTATTGTAATGGTACCTTAAAGTGGTCTGTTTTTCATTAAATATATATATATATATATATATATATATATATATATATATATATATATATATATATATATATATATGTGTGTGTGTGTGTGTGTGTGTGTGTGTGTGTGTGTGTGTGTATACATATATGTGTATATATATATATATGTGAGTGCATATATACATATATATATGTGTGTGTGTGTGTATATATATATATATATTTTGTGTATTTATGCGTATTTAGTGTATATATACGCTCTATCTCTGATATTGAGCACTTTATCCCATAAATATAGCACACCTTAAAATATATATTTCTTCATATATATATATATATATATATATATATATATATATATATGCTCTATTAGTGCGGTAAAATATTATTCAATTTAACCACAGTAATTGAAAATTGATTTCTTTATAGTCACCGATGTATAAATTAACTATTAATCAAGTATTAATCATATATATATATATATATATATATATATATATATATATATATATATATATATATATATAAAAAGAGAGAGAGGGAGAGAGACAGACAGATAGAAATACAGAGACACAGACAAAAATATAGAAATGTCGAAGTGTTATGATTTTTGTTTGTTTCAGCTTATCTCGTGTTCAGGGTGGAATTCTGCCAAACTGAGTGACGTAGACGCCATTGTTTAATGGATGGGAAACAGCATTAGTTCATTTCGTCATTTCTATCGCCTTGTTAACAAAACTTTTGCTCATTAAGCTATATTGGGATGTGCTTGGTACTCTTGGCTGGCACGGTGACAACGTCAGTAAACAAACAAGTAACAGTTAAACTTGTCGTAGCATAATTATTTTAAGTAGATGCTTTCTGAAAGACACCACAAGGAGAAATAAAATTATTGAAAAAAGTTTGATGGCATTTAACCAAAGCTGTTTTAGCTTAAAATAAATAATTCTTTCTACCGTAATTACTCAAATATAATGCGCGTTTTCATGATCATTTTGTCGCGAAAAGATAGGGTGTTTTTACCTGTAAAAATAGAGCAAAAAACAACATATGTGTATAGAGCACTTTTTATTTGAATAAATTGAATTATAATTCGAAGTAAGTACCTCAACTCTGGGGATACCCTGCATTATGTCCCGGTTATCCTGACAAAAAGGATGCCATTGGAAAGGCAATGTTTTAGCGATGTGAACACTTGTAAAACTAAGATGAATGAAAATCTGAGAAACGAAAAATATATTAATTCTTCATTTATATAAGGTATTTGTTGATTTTAAGTGGCATACATAGTGGATGATGTTTTGATCTTTATGTAGCAACAAAAGGGAAGAAACTTAGGCTACGTTGGATGCAGACCCAGGGTAAAGGAGCTACCGTAGTTAGGCATGAACGAAAATAAAAGTACTGTATCTAATTATTTCTATTAGATATTTTACAGTAAATGGTTTTTCCAATATTTTGTGATGGCTTTGCCCCCCCAAAAAAAAAGAAGTAAGGCCATTTATTTTCTATAAAACATGTCCAGGATGAATATTTGACTACTATAGGCCTGTTAGTCAGACAAATATCGTTAGAAACAAAAAAAAAAAAAAAACGAAAGCTGAACTGTTATATAATATCAGTCCTCCTACATAGCAGTGGATGCTGGACATCCTCCACACAGATGGTGACTTGATTCTGAGAATACAATGGACCGAACATGTGAGCAACAATAAGGTTCTAGAAACACTGGCAACAAAAGGACACTCTTACTTAACATCAGAAAGCAACAGATGAAATTTCTGGGGCACATAATGAGGAAAGAGGGTTTGGAAGCTTGATAACCACAGGACAGCTTGAAGACAAGAGAGATATTTGGAAAACATCGCATTACCCACCTAGCGAGGCTGAGCAGGGTTTAGGAAAGATGGCGAAAATATTAACGTTATTAAGAACTATAAAGGACAGGAAATTACCGAGAGCCATGATTGCCAACGTCCTGAAGAAGCACGAAGTAAAGAAGAAGAAGAAGAAGAAGAAAAAGAAGAAGAAGAAGAAGAAGAAGAAGAAGAAGAAGAAGAAGAAGAAAGACTACTAGTATTGGTCAGAAGCGGGGGTCGCATTTTGCTCGAGCTACAGGAAAAAATCAGATTCTTCACAAAAAATCAGGGGTCGCATTATACATGAATTAGACTTATACACGAGTTAATCAGCTTATTCTGTTCATGGGGAAAGCATAATCGCCAATTCCTGGTCTTTGCATAAATAAATATATATACAGTATTCTTGATGGTAATAGTATACAAATTGCTTTATACTTCTGTAACAGAATTATTATTCTATGGCACTCATGCTTGTAATTGGAAGATTTGTGGAACAAAGTGGCATTGATAAAATGCTATTTTCTTTGCAATTAGCCGTTCTGCGGAACAATCTCTCTAATCCATGAGGGAAGAGGTCAGTTTTAACTTTAGATACCAAAAACATCGTTATCAAACAAGCTCTCTCTCTCTCTGTATATATATATATATATATATATATATATATATATATATATATATATATATATATATAAATATATTTAAAAGCTAATACTACTAAGTATCTTAATATCGAAAAAAAAAAAACATCTAAGGAACCTTTCGGTCATCCCTTCTTCAGATGTATATGGTTGGCGAAAACATTTTTATTAATACTAAAAGAACCCCGAAAATATTTACTGGACGAATAGGATAGGAGAACACTCTTGTGCAAAATTGTCTTCTAAGTAATTTAGAAACCAATTAAATTCGTAGAAAAAAAAAAAGATCACTAACCTGAAGAAGCACTAGAAATTGAAAAAAAGAAAAGAATATTAGTGTTTACCCAGAAGAAGGGTACGTCTATAGTTATTTTGCCGACACAGGGTAGGTCTTAGAAGACCTACCTGATATATGTATATATATATATATATATATATATATATATATATATATATATGTGTGTGTGTGTGTGTGTGTGTGTGTGTGTGTGTGTGTGTGTGTGTGTGTGTGTGTATACTGAACAACAGCTAGGAACGTTTTAAGATAATATTTAAATAACTGTACATAACTTTTTCAAATACATAGGTATACGCCATTTTGCTTCACTATTTTCGCCATCATTGAAGCAGCTTTATGATTCCTTCTTGTTAGAATTTGGGATGTTTCTGGGAAATTATCTCGTCCAAGTGTTTCTTTTAACAAGCTTCTTTAGAATTTTAGGCCTTCTCATTAATAGAATTTTGTACGGTGCAAAATCAAGTTAATTGAGTGATTCGTTTTCTACGGTTTATCAACCCTTTGCAGGTTATTTAAAGCCTGAAAATATTTTTAGAGTATAAGAATTCTTTTTTTTTTAGAGATAATAATGATTTGGTGATACAAGTCTTACTAATTAACCCATATCTGGGGTGAGCACGGTGTGTATACTAAAATCGGCTGTGTCTGCAAACAGACATGAAGTCTGATGTTGCCCAGATGCAAGTCGACTCTCTTCCGATTGGCCAATTCCAGACCTTTTTCATCGATTGCTGCACTTAATCGGTTCTAATAGGAAACATTCTTTGTCTGAATTCAACGTCTGATTTTGTGAAAGGAGCTCCTAATACACAATCTCCTTCTAATTTCACCATCGTCACTTTCTTCGAATTCAGACTGGCTGATGGAGCGGTTAATGGTGACTCATTTTGTTTTGCTCCACACTGTTGTAAGCAATACATTGTTCATTGCCCGTGATTTTTCTTTTGCCTCATGTGCGCGGAGATTATTCTGTTGAAACAGCACATCGCCTTCTTGTCACAAAAAGGGCAAGAGAATTGATTGAAGATATTCTGCACGTAAATTGTGCTGTTCAACAATCCCCGTAAAGCTGCAATTTATGGTAAATCTTATTGAGTTGCCTCGCGTCGAGGAATACACTCTGGGACGTCGCATATGCACAAAACTATTACTTCAATGAAGGCGGAATTTTCTCTAGACATTGAACGATGCAAAGCACCATTCGATCCCATCACTTGACACCAAGAATGCAGCAATGTGTTTTGGCGTATGTGAAAGTTTGGCTAGAGACATGCGTTCATAGTCCAGCTTCGAACAAAACGATTTCCTATTGTCTATATGGATACCTCTGGGGACACGTTTCCTTTGGTCGTTAGGTGGGGTAATTCATGTGTACTAGGATATTCTAGCCCAACTGTACCAATTTCTGCCAGGTTTTCAAAGAGACCTGAAGTCTAGCATTGACTTGTTGAATGATGACATTCTACCGACTGGCTAATTCCTGAGGTTTTTCATCGATTCTTGCCTTTAATCGGTCTAGTTGGGAAACAGTACTTGTCTGAGTTCAACATCTAATTTTGCGGAAGGAGCTCTTAATATACAATATCCTTCCAACCCCTAGATACATAGCCTCACTTCCTCGAATGTAGACTGGCTTTTGAACCGGTTAATGGTGGCTTATTTAATTTTCTCCACGACCTTTCTCGTTTCACACATTAATTGCAGACACTCTATTTCCATCACTTGTGTTTGATTAAAAAAAACAAAAACAAAAAAACAATCAGTTTTTGTTGATCAGAGAATCGCAGACGGAAATGCAGACTATTATACTTTTCCCCTGAAACCGCGAGAAATTTAAACATCGCAACGATTCATGCCTCCAAATATTTTCAAATGTCTTACAGCGGACATATAAGATATGTAGAGTACCTCTCCAGTGTTCTGTCTTCTGACTTGAATTATATTTCAATAGTGTTTTGATTTGGTCATCATCAATGACTGAAAAGTTCTCAGTCTCTCAGATGAAAATATCCTTTTCTGGACCTAGCGAAAACCCTTACGAAAATACTCTCAGCTATGGCACCATCTCCATGAACGACACTTTGCATTTTTGCACTTTGTATAGCGTCTTTTTTCTTTCTAGAAATGAGTTATGTTACTAATAATAATGTTACAGTCACGAAACAATAAGTTTACTTCCTAGATTCCTTACTTCTTTCTTTCTTTCTTTCTTTCTTTTTTCTTTCTTTCTTCATGTTTATCATCAATGGGATTTCTCATTGATCTTTCTTCATATGTCCAACACTTATTCTTACTTTTAGTGAAGATATATGTGCATTATTCTTTTTTCTTTCTTTTTTCTTTCTTTCTTTTTTCATTATTTCTTTCTTTTAGTGAACACATATTTATTATTCTTTCTTTCTTTTTTTGTTTTAATTCTTTTTCCACTCTCTCTTTCTTTTATTTATTTATTTCTTGTACTGAAAACGTATATACATTATTCTTTCTCTTTTCTTTCGATCTTTCTTTTTTCCTTTATTTCTTTTTTCTCTCTCTCTTCTCATTTCTCATCATTGTTTTTTTCGTTCTTTTTTGTTTGTTACTTTCTTATTTTTTTCATCTATATCATCAATGTATTTTCTTACTTTTCTCTATTCACATATGTCCATTATTCTTTTTTTCTTTCTTATCATCCATTTATGTTTTTAATATCAAAACAACCATTTCATATGTCTTTCTACTTCTCTACCTATGTTTATTTTTTCTCTTCATTTCTTTTTGTTGCGTTCTAATAAATCTTCTGTTTCCGTCTCTTTTCTTCACTCCATTCTTTTTCTCTACCTTTTAATTATTTTCACCTCTCAAACGAACAAAAAAAAAAACATTATTATTCAATTTCCTCTCAAGGCCATAGCCTATTCACGCTCGCTTTTTCCTTCTTCACCTATTATATATATCTCTCTCTCTGTATACAAACTCGTTTATAACAGATGCCATCGTTCAGTAGTTATGGCCAAACATCTGTTGGCCAATGCACCCAAGGAATCATTTTAGTGCTTTCAAGAAACGCAAAACAACGCCAGAATGCGGTTATCAGGTGTAAAAAAAAAAAAAAAAAGAATGTAGACGGCCACCCGATAGTGGGCAGCTGATCTATAGATAGGTAGATTATCGTCGCAGTACATAATCACGTCTTATTTTTACAGGCATCTTTTCGAATTTGGGTATGATATCTTCAATTAAATAAAGTAAATAAAATATTTAGATGAAGCGCAGAAAATCAATAAAGAAATGAATATTCTTTTTATTTAATTATGATTAATCTATTGATTGACTGATTTTTTACGGCTTATTCTTTTAAAGATTTTTTTTTTTAAAATTGGTATCACCCCAAGCAAGGAAGTAATGAGACTAAAACATTAAGGGCGAGAAAGAATTTGGAACAGAAACAATAATGATGAGTAGAAAGCGAAAAGGGTAATCAGGAGAACAGTAGAGAGCGATTAGATTGCATTTAATTTTGCAGATAAATGCTGGCTGGAAAACATGGAACCGGAGGGGAGTTCTACAAGCGAGAAGTGCGAGAGAAGAAACTATTAGCATAGAACTTACGGTTCCATCTAGCCAGCTTAGCTCTAAATTGATGAGATCACGATACCAATCTTGTACTGAGCTTAAAATCAAAGACTCTAGGTACCATAGCGAATAGGTCATCAGAACAATTACCATGAAAGTATTCATAAAATTACACAGAAAGGCAACCTTACGGCGGTGGGAAAAATGACTGAAGCCGAAACGTCAGATCAGGACCGATAATATTGCTGATTCTTCTTTGGATCTTATATTAAAAGTAAATAGAAGCGGCAGCGGACTATATGTGGCATTAATATTCAAAGTCTGGGCGAATGGTAGAATTAGAGATATTTAAGAGAGATTCCGGAAAGAAAAATTGTCTCACCCGACACAGTAAACAGATTTTCATTGTAGTTTACATAATGGCATTTTAAGAATTCTTCTTGAGAACATAATGATTTTCTGGTACCTACTATTTAACCCATAGCTGAAAGTATCCCAAGAATATTTGCACCTAAATAAGTATAACGAATCCATTGGCTTATGATTCTATCACAGAAAGCATTTAAAATGAAAACATCGATTTTGTTAAAAATTCATTTATTAAAAAAGCTGCTTCAGGGGCCCCTCTGAAACCAGCACCCCACACACGAATTAGGGGACCTGAAGCATAAGTGTCATTAGTTTCATACTAGATCCGCCATTGCATAGGTGATAAGACATGGCTGCGTGTTTTAACCTTTATTTGAATGAATCTAATAAGACAGTAACTTTTCATACTTTGGATTGTCGATTTTCCTCATAACGTATGCGACAAGCACCAATGTCGTTGTTGCTAAATTATCCATATTTCGTTTGTAGTTTCAGCTGTAATTGCTATTGATTCAGCAAATCTCGAACGATTATTTGTTGCTTGCGTGATTTTATTTTCGATTTAACTATGCCCCCCCCCTCACCAACCTCGCCGAAAAACAATAACAGCAAAAACTGCATCATGACTTAAATGGAGACCAATATAACGGCTATTTAAATTCTCATGTAGCAGGGAAACATTATTGAAAAAAATCAATAAATTAATCATTAGAGAAAGTTATTGGTTTTCTTATCTTTTTTTTAGTGAGGCCAGTCTGCTATTTTATGATGTTTCTATTTTGATCAATTATGTTGAAACGGGACCTGGAGAAAATCATCTTTTAATAGACTGCAGTTGGTACCACTTACGTGTGTTATTTCCATGAATGCTTATTTTCAGCGTGTGATCGACATTCTACATTTATGAATACAATCTGCATTCGCAAATCTACTGTAGTGTGTGATCTAAACATTAAAAGTAATAACAAAAACGACGTAAAAAAATGAAATACATATGACCGGAAATCATTTACGACAAGATGGTATAAATATGTTATGATGGATTTGCGATAAATATGACCTGATCTCATTTACGACGAGTGGTAGGATTAAGATAAAAATTTGGGAGAAAAAAACAAAAAATAAAAATAAAATGGTGGGGAGGAAATCAGCCAGTTTTTCGCTGCATGTAGAGGGGGATGCCAAACTATTAGATCTGAGCGTCTATTAAATATTTTTTTTTCTATGACACTGACCTGAACAACAAACTATATTGCAATCTATCCTTCTATGAGATTTTGGAGAGAGAGGCTTTTTTTATTTCGTTAGAGATCAGTCATTTGTAATAACACAGGAAATGACTGTAAGAGTCCAGGCAACTATTTATTTTCTTATTATAAATGTTAATGTAGTGCACTTTCTCAGATCGCATTCGGCATGCAGATAATACGCTTCCCTAGATGTGTTGTTGTAGATCATATTCTGCATGTAGATCACACGATTCATTGATTTGTATTGTTACAGATCACATTCTGCATATAGATCACACGCTTTAGTAGATCTGTATTGTTGTAGATCATATTCGATATATAAACCTGTCTTTTGTTGTTGTTGGGAAACATGTTTTTTTAATTTTAGCTGGGTTTGAAAACCAACCAGAGGAATTGCCTATGAAGTCCACCAACCCATATCAGACATTGGCTTACTTGAGGGTAAGCCTACAAGAGTGGAGAAGCAAGTGAAGTCGAACACCGAACTTTGGCGCCGATCAACAGCGCATAGCTACCTGAGCGACGTGCGTGTATGTATGTAATGAAGCTTTGCAAGCGAGTCGGTTAAGAAATTGAACCGCTCATGATATATGATCCTGTGATCAAACCACTAAGCTATCACCAAAAAGAAGTGCTCTCTTTTCTGCTGAACGAAAGTGCACTACCGTCCGCTCCATTTATGCTAATGTATGCAGCTTCTTGTATTTGCCTCCGAGTGTCGCCCAGACGAGTTCTTTACTTCGTGAACGAACGATGAAGAAGACAAAGAAAAGATGGCGTCTGACATGAACTTGATTTAGCTGTCTGAAAAGTTATCCTTTCTAAGCCCATTTCTTGAGTCTGTTATCTTTCTTTGCGCTCACAAACTTTCATTTCTGTCATTCATTCAGTCACTCAGCAGTTACGCTTTTAGAACCTTGACATAAAGATATTTTTTTATTCAATCTTCTACGCAACAAGCTTTACGTCTAACAACGATACTCTATCTTCTGAACTTTTTTCTTTTCGATTTACTTTTCTTTTCTTACTACATTCTTTTCCCCTTTATTCTTCGTCCTCTTCACTTTCATTTTTCATACGTTATCTCTTTCTTTTTCCTTTTCGTTATCGCGTTTTTTTTATTTATTGTTATCGCTTTCTTTACACTTTTTTTCTCTACACTATTCTCTTTCCTTGGCGCTATCACATTTTTTATTTCATTTATCAGTTTTTTTCTTTATCGTTTTCTCTTTCTTTTCTTTCTTTTGTCTGGTTCCTCATTTATTTTCTTTCTTGTTAATATTTTCTTGCATCAACTACCTACTTATCTATCTTTCCATTCTATATATCTATCACTTATTGTTTTTAACAGCAGTTTTCTTACTTTTTTTATTGCTAATTCTTTTACCGTTCTTTTTTTTTTCTTTCGTTATCACTTTCTACTTGGTATTCTTCTCTTTTAATCTTGATTTTTCTTTTCTTATTTCTTTAACACTTTCTTTTTTCTTTTTAATTCTCGACTTTTCCTTCCTTTTCTCTTTCTTTTCCCATTCTTTTCGTTATTAATTTTCTCTCTTTTCCTTTATTTTCTATTTCGTTATCACTTTCTTTTCCCATTCTTTTTTATTAATTTTCTCTATTTTAATTTCTTTTACTCTTCCTTTTCACTTTCTTTTCCCATTCATTTCTTTGTTAACTTCCTCTCTTTTCATTTCTTTTACTCTTTCTTTTCCAATTCTTTCCTTTATTAATTTTCTCTCTTTTCTTTTTTTTATTCTATTTCGTTATCACTTTCTTTTCCCATTCTTCCTTTATTAATTTTCTCTCTTTTCTTTTCTTTTTCTCTTTCTTTTCCAATTCGTTTTTTTATCAATTTTCTCTCTTTTCTTTTTTATTCTATTTCGTTATCACTTTCTTTTCCCATTTTTTTCTTTATTAATTTTCTTTCTTTTCATTCTTCATCTTTCTTTTCCCATTTTCTTCATTATTAATTTTCTCTTTTTTCCTTTCTTTTACTCTTTCTTTATCACTTTCTTTTCCCTTTCTTTTCTCTATTAATTTTTTTCTCTTTTCATTTCTTTATCTCTTTCGTTATTCCTTTCTTTTCCCATTTTTCTTGTCTTTCAAATCTCACCCTTTTCCTTTATTTTTCTTTTTCTTTATCACTTTTCGGCTTGTTTTTCTTTTTTTAAAACTTTTTTTAAAACTTAGTTTCTTGGGTACTTATTATTCATTTTCTTTGTTTCTTTTTCTTTCTTTTTTGTTTCTTTCTTACCCCTTTTTTTATTACCCATTTTTCTTTTTCTTTTTCCTTTTCTTTATAACTTTCTTTTTTCTCTTTATTTGTTGACATTTTCTTTTCCATTACGTTTGTTTTCTATTTACGAAGCTTATTTAGCTTAATATAAGGCCAAATTGTGATTAATCAAATCCGACAGATCGTGGAGCTGAAATCCACCCACATGAATTTTTTTTTTTGAAAGCATTGAAATCTTTATACCTGGCGCCCGTAGAAAATAATTAATCAGCGTAGAGAAAAGACTGATTTTTCTTGATCGTCTTTTCTCAACTGTCTTCTTTATCTTAACTCAGTTTGGCACAAGGCAACAATTTTAATGCATACAATGTGAATTGAAATTTCTACACTCCAGTCAAGGTTTACTTCACCAGATATGGTTGACATACTCCGCTTTCGCATTTAATCACCAATCCCGATGAATTGATGTTCCCTTAGGGAGAACCCATGACTTGAGCGCTTTTTGAGCTTGAAAACAAGCGTCAAGTGGAGCTCGTACATACAGTCCGTAGCTAAAGATGCTGAAAAAAATGATCGCTTCCCTGTACAGCACCAGTAAGTATCTGACTTCTCCTGTTATCTACCTTTACAAAAGCCAGCTCAGGTCTAAAATGGAGGACTGCTGCCCTATATGGCCAGGAGGTGTCTAGTTTTCACTTTCCAGACTCGATAAAGCCCAAAAGCGTCTCTGCGTCCTTGTGGGTGACAATTTATTTTACACCTCACAACCCCTTTCTCACAGACGAAACGTCGCAGGACTCTCACTTCATTATCACTATTTCCATAGAAAATGCTCAGTTCCAGCATTTCTAACCTTCACGGCTAAGACCGGCCATGCAATTGTAGTGAATCACCCTCATCTCCTTCGTGTTCCACTGGTGAGATGTTCCACTCGAACAGCTTCTTCCTGCGAATCGATACCCTGTGGAACCTACTTCCAAGAGAATGTTTTCCCGGTCACTATAATCAAGTCTAGGGTTAACCGTTACCTTCCTCAGATATAAACATAAACAGGGCCTTTTAATCTGTAACCATCTCGAGTGGCTCCTGGGCCTTGTACAGCGTGAACGTCACTGATATATATACTTTTTTTCACTTAACTGATATTCACTTCGGAGTTTCGTGGCTGTATGCATCTAACCACTCGTCGGAACAGAATTAATCTGACGCAGTTTCTCGGTTCTCTTGTGCTTTTATTGGTGTGAATATATTATCTATTCCTTTTTTTCTCCATGTTGATTGAATGTTGACCATTCTTCCTTTATTCTTCATTTATTTTTGTCTTTGTATTTTTCTCTTTTATTTAATTCCTCAACTTCTTTTCCCTGTCTTCGATATTGAACACTCTACCTGTTTGCCTTAAATGCCACCTTTTATGAGCAATATATATATATATATATATATATATATATATATATATATATATATATATATATATATATCGGCCTGAAGAATTGAACATCTCTCTGTTCACGAAGTAAATTATAATCGAAATGGATAATTAAAGTCTCCGTCATCTTCTTCTTCTGACTATATATATATATATATATATATATATATATATATATATATATATATATATATATATTTAATTTAGGAATGTTTGTGGAATGTTAGAACTGCTTTCACTTCAAACAAATATCAAGCATCATTTCGTAAAATTTACAAAAACTTTCAGAAGTTAGAAAATGATTTCGACATAAATGTACGGGTACTTCCTTCCATATTTCTGTATATAATTGATTCATATCTTAAGATGTTATATTTGTTGTCTGTGTGTGATATATATTTGTGTATGCTTGTGCATTTGTATGTGTTATTGTGAGTTTGTCTGTACCAGAATAAACAATATATAAGAGCTTTGTACTCCTAACAGGAATACAAAATAGAAGAGGAGAGATTCAAGACAGGAGGGACAAAGGAATACAACGCGTAGCCTGTCTAGTGAGCCTGGATAGCAGAACAGGTTTTAAGAGAGATAACAAAAGCACAAAACTTATTAAGAGCTACAAATTATACGAAATGGAGAGAGCCATGATCGCCTTTAGGAGAGATAAGAAAAAGACATAATTTATTAAGAGCTACAAAGGAGAGGAAATTGTGGAGAGCCATGATCACCTATGCCCTGAATAGAAACGGTACATAAAGAAGAAGATCTGTTAGGACAGATTAAAGGCAAAAGGGATAGAGGAAAGCAACGCATAACCTACTTAGTGAGCTTGAGTAAATGGATGTCGGAACAAGGTTTAGGAGAGATAACAAAAAGACATAATTTATTAAGAGCTACAAAGAAGAGGAAATTGTGGAGAGCCATGATCACCTATGCCCTGAATGGAAACGGTCCATAAAGAAGAAGATCTGCTAGGACAGATTGAATGTAAGAGGGATAGAGGAAAACAACGCATAACCTATTTAGTGAGCTTGAGTAAATGGATGTCGGAACATGGTTTAGGAGAGATAACAAAAAGACATAATTTATTAAGAGCTAGAAATTGCGGAGAGCCATGATAGCCAACGTCCTAAAGGGTCACGGCAAAAATAAAATGAAGAAGGAGGTGGAGCTTAACTGAATGTTGGCTGTGAATAGATTCTGACGAGCACAACGAACCCGACCATTCATTTGAAGTTTCAGGCGCTGCAAGCCCCTAAGAAAATTGAAATTTAAACAAATTACAGAGGTATTTTGCGACCTTATGGAATGGGTATGAGAACATATTCTAAGGCCAACATTAGCTACTTCATCCCATTAGCTAATGATTCTATCACTAAAATGGCCTCATTTTAATGACAAACATTTTTAAAAGAAACCATCAATTTTCTTGAAAAATTTACTCATTAAAATTTTTCTTCCTGAGCCCCTCTTGGATAGTTTCATAGTAGACCCGCCACTGCGGATATATATATATATATATATATATATATATATATATATATATATATATATATATATATGGTGTATCAAAATACTTTTTACAAAGGTTGGGAGCAGGTTGCTCACACCAAAACAAGGACAGAAATCCATATTAAAATAATTCCTATGTTTTTGAGTTAGTAAAATGAATTGGGTTTATTAGAACGAGTTCTTCATCAGGCGTACGAGTGGATCTCATTCTTCCTCGATCGATAATTTGTGGTAGAATGGATCCTGTCTCAGTAACGATAAACAGCAGCTAAGTTTAGACGACTCGGCTGTTTTCAGTCTGGAAATGCAATCTGAAAGAGTCGTAGAGCCTCGCGTCCAGTACCATTTGCACTGCCGAATGCAAAAATCCTATCTACCTGTTCATGATATGAATATCCTGCCATTGTTAAACGGAACACTTCTCAATTAACTCACTAGTACATACGTTAAACGTTCAAGACAAAATAGCCACACTGTACACGAATGACAAATGTAACCTAGTCTACTTAGCAATACATCGCGGTCTACAGTAAACTTTCTTTAAACTTAATAACTCAAACACAAACGATTTGCGGACATATGTTTATATGGACTTATGCCATTGTTTTATTGTGAGGAATCCGCCCACAATGTTTATAAAAGTGTTTTTGATACACCCTTATATATATATATATAAACTGTGTGTGTATGTGTGTATGTGTGTTAATTAATATACATGCGTGTGTATGTTTCTTTAAAAACACGAATTACAGATGAACATATATGACATAAATTCAGAAATATTTAGAAAGAAAGTTCATTACTGAAACGTGTAAACTTAATGAAAATATATATAATAAAATATAGATAAAAAATTAAAACTGAAATCACGCAGGAATATATATATATATATATATATATATATATATATATATATACACACACACACACACACATATATATATATATATATATATATATATATATGTGTTTATTGGGTTCGCCATTTTCTGGAAAATCGAATGATGATGATTATGATGATGAATGAGAATGATGTTTAAGTAGCCGATATGTTCCATATCCAATAAAATTCCAGATTTCGTTTTTTTTTTTTGTTTTTTTTTTAGTGAGGATGCGCACATGAAAGATCTTGTTTAGTGTGAAAAGTCTCGTGACATTTAGCAATTGAGGGCTCAACTCACTGCAAAGTTCATCCAAATTAATATCGATCTCAGCTTATTTTTGTGCCTCTATTTGCCCACACAAATGCAATTTCGCATTACTCACGTGTGGCGGGGTGCACTTTGAAACTTGCAAAGGAAACAGCTTGTTATACTTCTTTAAGACATCTCCCCCTCCAAATAAATGGTTAGATAAACATGTCCTTTCATTGATGCCCACCTTCTTGTTCACTGTAATTGAAATGACAAACAAAAATCAACTGACAACAATAGGAACTGTAATTGGATGCTCCTTTTAAATCACTATATATATATATATATATATGTGTGTGTGTGTGTGTGTGTGTGTGTGTGTGTGTGTGTGCATGTAATTACTTCAAAGTTTATCCTTAGTGGATACCATGAATTTGAAAGAGACGCCCTATATTTTTAAACAGTATTACGTGTACCGACATGCGCACCTGAGAAACTTTAATAAAGAAAACATGTTCCCGAGTAGAGATCGAACACGCGTCCCACTTTGTAGTAGAAAAAACGGTTCGATCAGGTGCGCCTTAGATCGCTCGGTCACAGAGAACGTCACATTCCTGCGAAGAGTACATTTTTAAAAACTGCTTTCACAGGTTAACAGGCCGGGAAGTGTAATACACACGGTAAAAAAATATGGCGCCTCTATCCCAAACACAACTCTCCAACATTCCAGTAAAATAATGTTTGACATAATAAAAATCATGTATTAAAAATAAATATATTAATTAATTATATATATATATATATATATATATATATATATATATATATATATATATTATTGCTCTGTTTACCTATATTGAGCACTGTTTTGTTAATAGCTTTAATTAATAAAATATTGATTTGCTTATCTGTATATATACGTTATCACACGCTTATATAGTTGCTAATATCTTGTTATTTAGTTTATATTCACACTTGTACATGGCAGCAATT